AGTATTACTGTGTAAGAAGTTTATGTTGAATCACTGAATGTGTCGTCAGGTGTCTTTGCGTACTTGAAAAAACGGCTCTCTACTAGCAGTTTTATAAAGAAATCTAAAAATCATCTCCTCAAATGTCAGCTGTAGTTTCTTTCCCCTTAGATTTCCAACTTAAGCTTATTTTGTCAGTTATTATAATTATATCTATTATCGTTTTCTTTTAAGAAAGCTGTAAATTATAACTTCTTTCCCCTTAATGCATGATAGATGTACCTGAATGAGCTGATGATATTTTTTTTAGGTTTACCACTATTGCCTTTTGAATTAATTTGTTGTTGTTGCTATTTTTTCTTCGTTCCTTTCCTTATTTTGCAAATCATCAGCAGCCAACTCGAAACCTTTGCTACTTTGCCTGTTGATAACATAAGATAAAACGAACAAGATGAAGACACAAAGTGTTTAGTGTGCATGTGGGTGGTATTTCTGATTTTCGTGCCTTGATATACTGCTAGGTTCTGTGGATTGTTGCAGTTCCCAGGAGTGACAAGAACCAAATCCTTTCAACAACTCACAATTTTTCTCTGCCATAAATATCCCCAGGTGAGCACTCCTTGTTGATTGAAGTCGTTATGCATGTCTAGCGCTAGTGGCAAGAGGTGGACCGAGTGAGCGGTTGAAGACAAAAAGGTGGACAAGGGAGCTCTGTAATGATCGAACGAAAACACGAGTTTCAGTTGCTATCCACTGACCTTAAATATGGGCATTCATAAACTTGTTCGTGCGCTTAGTATGATCAAGGGGCCAGTCAGTGCGTGAATCTTCTTAACGTTGGTTTTAGTGGCTAACATATGAGCTTCAGCACCCTGTTAAAAACTCTTTAATTAACACCATACGTTATCAGCTGCCTAAGCTAACTGGTCCCAGAGCGCGTGAACGTTTCAATAAAACCATTAGCGGGATTTTAAGCCTCTCTATATATTTTAGTCGTCCACTTCAATCTTTTAAAGTATTGTAAACTTATAACTGTGGATTTGAGGATAAGATCGGCCTCTTCTAGTGCTTGGTCTCGTGATGTCATCTGGTATCAAAGGTTCTGTATTCATTATCATTACGATCTCAAAAATCTGACCCTGAGTCTTCTTAAATACTTAACAATACAGTTCTTGATATCTAGATCTCATGCTAATTTTGTTTGCAACTAAAGCTTTTAAAACTCAATTTCCAGGTCCGGAAAACCACCGCTGATCAACTGTATTCGGCTGCATTAACATTTGATGACATAATTCCTGGCGAAAAGCTGGATGACGTGTTAGCGATATTGAGCGAAACCTCATGGTAAGAGTGTGTACATGTTATCTACTTGGTGTCTCAACCGTAATTTCAGAATAGTATATCATGGATGACAGAATACATTTTGGGTTGCCAAGACCAGAATGCCAGCTAAGTAAAACAGTAAGGCTTCTGCCAGGAAAAAAAAAAAACGTTTTTGCTATTGATCAAACGTACCCTAGAATTATATCCAAAGACTGAGAATCAGCGGCATCATGTACAGCATAATCAACAGTGATCCCAGTAAGTTTTCTTGGATTAGTCCAGGTCATTCAGCCACGGACTCAAAGTTGGGATCCGGCACCTTTTACTCAACGGCATGACATAAAAAGAAATCTCTAGAAGTTATTCCTTTACCCTTTCACTAACTCTCTAAACGCTTTTGACGAATGTATGTGATTACTGGCGCGAGTTTGGAGATGCCTTTTTGTTGTTAGAGACTTTAGTTTTACAGACTAGAGACTAGTCTGGTTTTATCGTTTGTAATTTCCAAGTTCTTGTGGTCTTTTTAAGGGATGCAAAAATTGAAGATCTTCGAGTGACAAGAAACAACCTATGTGATATTTTAGGTATTCCTCGCCCGGTGTTGAAGGTAATGTGCTTCAACTCATAACATCAAATGATTTGGGTTTTCAGAATTTCACACTTAGATTTCACTTTTTAGTACAAAAAGGAAAATTTTTCCTGACCCCCTCTTTATTTTTGCGATAAAATTTAAGTTCGAGGGAGGTATTAGATTTCGTTCCTATCGAACTTTTATAATACTAACTTTTACTTTAAATTTATTTTCCCCTTTAAACTGAACTTGATAGTTTATTGAATTCAAAATGGTGAAAGTAGTTTTTTTTTTTTTTGTTTTATTTTTCAGAGCACTGGAAGAAAAGCTGCCGTCAGTGAAAAGAAAGATGAACTAGATAGCTACAAAGGTTAGGACTAGAAATGAATACATGATCTGTCGTTGATGCCTGGCCATAGATACATATTTTGCCGCGGCAATCTCTATTTGATGTTTTTATAGAGCTATTTAGTATATACTAAAACAGTGGATAGTGTTTTTCGGGCGCTCTGATTGGCTACTCAATCAGTGAATATCCTGCACTATTCACTGATCCACCTCCAGTCCCTCCGAGCGAGCGACGCCAAACTCGCGTAAGTCACCACTAGCCACCTCCACTTCGGTGAATAATTGTTATTTATTTTCTGCTATAAGGTTGTTAATTGACTGAATAAATTGCTTTTTGAGAGGCTGACGTTAATGTCAGAGTTTTTACTTAATTACTTGACAGACTTAAGAAACTAACCAACGTGCTGTTTAATAAATTAATCGACCGACTGATTAATGGACAGATGGAGTGTGTGGCTAACTGACTGATTATCTGTCTAACTGTTTGACTGATTGACTTGTTGACTGTCTGACTGATCTATCGACTGACTGCCTGATTAACCCTAGCCAGTGTAACACTAGACTATCAGTGTATCCTTATTTTTCCTTGCTATCCAAAGGGAGGCATTGGTCTAGTTGCGTGAGTCTGCAAGTTATTGATTGACTGACTGGTCAGTTATAGATTGAGTGAATTATTGGTTGATTTATTGATAGATCACTTTATTTATTGACTGATAAACTGTTTGCCTGATTGGCTGTAAAGTGACCTTCATTTCCTTTTTGTTTGTTTGACAGATCTGGTAAGTCGTCATGGTTACTAGACAATCTAAAACGGAAATTAAACCAAGTTGTAAACTGGAGAGCATACAGATAAGATGGATCGGGACAATTCTCTAGCTGGTGCTACTCGGATCCTCTTGTAAGGCACATGAGAAAACTGCCTTGCCAAACAACTTTCATTCCATCTTATACAATGGAGCAATTCGAACTGTGGAACCCAGCATATCTAAACAAGGAAACGATTATAGCTGACTCTTGTGAATAAGATGGTTTTCAATTACAGTGTATCTTATTGCTCATGGATATGGGATCCGAATCTTGGTTTCAAATGAGGTGTGCATGAGGTGACAGAACGGCGAGAACGGTTTTGTCCATCTGGAAAAACTGGTTTGAAAGTTAATGATTAACTAAAGGACGACTACCGTAGCCGCTGTTTCAAATTTGTCTGTGTAGGTCTTGTTGGTGGTATTACATAATATGTAAATATAAGAAAATTTTAAAAAGAAGCCTTCTGAGACTTATAATATAACTTATTCATTAATTTTATTTTATTTTATTCAGTACGCAAACACCATAACTATTTCCTTTCATTTCGTGATGTAATTGAGAACATTCGTTGTGCGGTTAATATGCTGCTACTCCTGACTTCATGTATACGTTCCTGTAAAGATCTTGAATAAAATATTGTTCACTTGTGATTTATATATCGCTGAGTAACCATGTACGGTTTCAGTATGTTTTTTTCTGTAGACAGAAAAAAACCCTTGCTTCCCTCTGTTCCTCACCACTAAGGTGTTGATAGTTGCGGGCAAAGTAATACTGGGTGCAACCCTGCAATAAGCCGCAAGCCAGTCCAGCATAGGAGGTTTGGGAAGGGGCAGAGAGATTATACCGACTCCTACAGCTGCTTCATGCTACAGTAAACAAGTTCCTTTAATTTTCTATTAGATTTCGCTTAGCTCACCTGGATTGAAAAAAGAAATAGTCATGTCACCAACCCCCGTACAGGAACTAAGATATGCTTAATGAAAGATAAACTGCTCAAGTGGGTGGAGACGGGGGAAAAATGATGAGTTGAGAAATTTAACCCGCTACAAGCAGAAACGAGTGAAACTGGACAGCGCCAAATAGTGTGATATTTACAGAAAGATTCGAACTTTAGTAACTCATCACGTGTTGCGGTGTTTGGACACACGGGGTAAAATGATGTTTAGGGAGGACGTGAACAAGACACGACGAAATCCTCTTTTTGAACTTGGATAGAAAGTTCACCCATAGTTTCTCTACAAAGGCAATTTCACGGCAGGGAAACTATGCAAAAAGTAGTCTGAAATTACGACTGCAAAAAGCTTTGCATGTGAAATAAACGCAACAACAGCGATTTAAAATTGGGACTATCAAGTTTAATAAATTAATGAGAAAACAACTCCATCGTGATAACGATGTATTATAACAATGCGTGAAGTACACTCCAGATTTACAACTTATTTACAATACTTTATGAATTCTTTGTTACATTTGGTTCTTCGCTTTCAAGTATAGGTTTGGTCGTACGTCAAGGTGCGTCAACAAGCCAGTTCGCAAGTCAAGATATTTGTTGTTTGTATTACGTTAACACCTGCTTTTGTCAATTTGGACTTTCGTGTTCATTGAGGTCGTACAAGATTTCGTTAGTTTCTCCTCAGTCGCGCGGCGCTCGAATCAGTTTAGTTATATATGTTTCTTTGTGTTGCGAAAAAAATTTAGTATTTTAGTTCGTCAAGTCGTAAACGTTTCGGAAGTCTACAGGCGTGTCCCTACGAAGTCCGTCATTGTTGTAGTAGTACATTTAAGTGAAGTGGAAAAGAAAAGAAAAATTAAAAATCAAGGTCACCGTACAGTCAAGCAAAATGTACAGATAACTTTAGCACACAATCGTTGCTGCGTGGAAGAAAACATTTCTAATCTTTGAATTCGCAAAAGAGAGTCTTAATGGTAAATTAATTGTGAAATAGCAAAAGTCACACACCGTCAATTTCCTTTAAGCGCGCTCTCCTCGGATTCTCCGTGCGAGCTGAATGTCTTTAGGCATGATCGTTACACGCTTGGCGTGGATGGCACAGAGATTCGTATCCTCAAACAGTCCCACGAGGTACGCTTCAGCTGCTTCTTGCAAAGCCAGCACGGCTGAACTCTGAAAACGCAAGTCAGTCTTAAAATCTTGTGCTATTTCTCGAATGAGTCGCTGGAAGGGAAGCTTGCGGATAAGCAACTCTGTTGACTTCTGGTAGCGGCGAATTTCTCTCAAGGCGACAGTACCTGGCCGGTAGCGGTGAGGTTTCTTCACTCCACCAGTTGCCGGTGCACTCTTGCGCGCTGCTTTGGTTGCAAGCTGTTTCCGAGGAGCTTTTCCACCGGTTGATTTTCTAGCTGTTTGTTTGGTACGAGCCATGGCTTAAGTTGTAAGTTCTTGAGGCTTCTTTCCTGGCGGAGTGCTTGTACAGTTCTTGGTTTTGTGACTTTTTCATTTATTTGCCAGAGCTTTTATAGCTCCTCAAGATTAATGCGTGTAAATTATGCGATAAAAAATTGTCAAGTTTGCACGGGCGTATCGCAACCTCAAAAAGCGTTCGAAAGCGTTGTTTTTCAACTTTTGTGTGTTGAAACTTGTGTAACAATGAACAAATGAGTTTCATTGGCTAGTTTCTGATTCTTTGTTTTAAACTAACCAATCGCCGTTGCAATGGTGTCATTACTACTGACACTTTTTTGGCGGGAAAGATAATTAGCGCCAGTCTTAATTGCCAGCCTGAGGCCAGCGTGGCTCCATGTTTCTCGTGCATGCAAGACGAAAACTAATGTCTGATTGTCTTTGCTGAACTAAACAATCGCAGGGTGTTAGATTTTTTCTTTTTCGCTTTCGCACTTTTCCAATGATTAATATCAGTCACCGCCTTTGCTTTGAGAAAAAAATTGTTGACAAGGTTACCGTTCATCGAATTTTATTTATTCACATGCAGCTCATATATATGAACTCAAGACTACCATTTTAATGTCTTTGTCGTTCTTTAAATAAATTGTCAGTTTTTTACTCATTATTTTGTTTCTTTAGTTTACATGTCTTTCTTCCTCTCTTGTTTTTGTCTTTCAGAAAAACAAATGTTTTTTTTAAGACCAGTATGATTGTTGAATAACATCAAAATTCTTGTTAGTAACCAGGACTGATTCTTTAGTCGTGTTTACTTTTTCTCGAAAGATGAATAATTTATATAAATGTGAATCTCTCGAAATCCAGCTGCAAAATAAATATATAACCCCTTTACTGCGGGGCACGTCATTTAAATTCTTTGAAAACTTTTTTCAGCTCCGACTCTTTTACTTGTACGTCTTCATGACATCCTAGAAGGAGGAGATTATGCACTGTTATTTATCGTCTGATACAGTTCGGTATAAATTTATCTCTTTTTACCGATATTATGATCTGCGACAGTCCAGAGGTTTATAGTATTTCTATCAGCCTAGGGCAGTTTTGTGTTGACAAAACGCTAAAAAAAACAATCAGAGTTTTTATTACCTTGAAAACTTGTATGCCTCAGAGTGTTTCTTTTTGTGATAAGTTAAGTTTCGTATTGTTGTGCAGTATTGTTCAGTGTCGGCTTTTAGCTTCAGTTTGTATCACGTCATTTAGTGATTGCGCCCATCCGCAGCACTAAGAAACTACCAACAGAAGCCTGACAGAAGCCAGGAAGCTTACCGCGGTGTGGATAATTCGTATAATCATTACAAAAAGACTTAGACCCTGTTTACATGGAGTGGGGGACCCCGGTCTAGTGGGGTAGGTTTCTTTGTTTCGTGTCCCACAGAGCGTGAAAACAAAAGAAACCAACCACACTAGACCGGGGTCCCCCACTCCATGTAAACAGGCCCTAAAACCGGATACGAAAAAGTGTTTAGCTAACATTGTGTTGCCAACTGCACGCACTCTCGTGTAGTAATAATAATTCGGCTGTCGCCACCAATTACCTCAAATTGTCGCAACAAAGTGGCAAAAATTCCAAACAGTTCTTCTGGCTTGATAGATTCCTCACCAAAGTACTGAACCAAGAGGTGAAATTCTCTTTTCACGGCTTTTCGCAGCAATAAAACATCATTAAGTTCTTCCTTTGCAGTGACGGTAAATAGCTGTTAGCCAGTTGTCAAGGATATTTGATAAAGCTCAGAGTTCTGTTTTTTTCTTTAATCTTCCTTTTAATATGTACTCCGGCGTTTCCGATCGCCCTCTCTTTCCTAAAGGAGGGCCACCCGGTCGAATAAAGAAAGGAAAAGAATATAACTGGGGGTGGGGCTGGTAGGACGCTATGATCAGTGGTTTCTGGACAACTGACAACCCACCCCTCCCCTAACGCCGTACGTTGTCCGAAAAAGAAGTTGGTGTTAACGACGGGTTTCAGGAGGGTTACGTGGACAGAGAATCTAGTTCTGATCTAGAAAAAATGTCAAGACATTCAACAACGATATAGGGCGTGCCTTTCATTTTCCTTACTGAAGTGAAATCTGTCTTGACAAAACGTTGATGATAGAAGCTTTGGTGTCCATGACGGGTAATATTGACGTCCATTAATAGAAAAAAAAGTCATATACAGCGAACTATGTTTAAAAACAGTGCACAGCTCTACCCCGCAGCCCGTTAATTATCCAGGAATACTCCATGCCACTTTGTTTGCACTCATCTCTAATCCATCATTTTACTTTCACTGAAAATTATGATTCCATATTAGTGGAAATCACTTGAAACAAATAAAATGTGAGTTAGATTACATAACGAAACTTAGGATACTTCAATGCTTGTTCGAAAAGCGTCCTCGTCTTCTTTACTGCTTTCATTATTTATTTTCTCGACGTCCTCTTCTAGAACCTGCCAAAAAAAAACACAGTTCAAAAAATATGGTCTGTATGCGTGTTAATGAATCAACTTTAAATACACTCGTTACTTACCAGTTAAAATTTTTCTCACCTCGATCTCTGCCGTTAGCTCGGTTATCTCTTTGTCAAGCGACTTAAGTGGAACTTAAAAAAAAGAAACAACAAAAGCCAAACAATCGGATCGTGAAACACTTCCTCTCAAACCAGCAAAACAAAAACAAAACAAACAAGCAAACTAACGATAAAAAAACAACAACAAAATATTGGGTCATTCAATTTAAGCAATTGTCTTTCTAAAATGAAAGTAGACTAAAACCAATTGCTTTCTAATACCATCAGATGATGATATCTAACATATGTATTTAACAATTATTCCTAAAGCCCGAATGGGCTCTGAGTGAAATAGCCCATGAGGAGGAAGGCAAAACAAGTTTAGCTAGCAAAACGCGATTCGGCCACCGTTGTTTTGGTTTGCAAAGCCGGTGCTTTTCGCTACTAGTGGACCATAACATATAGCCTAGTGGTAGCTCAACCAATCAGAACGCAGCATTGATAATAGACCACTACTTGGATTTTACTAGATGAAAATATCTAGATCAGTGAAATGATATACCTCGTGATGCTTGTTGGACATGTTTGAGATCTTCTTGTAACGCTGCAATGTGCGGACACTTGGTAATGATGACTTTAGTGAGGTAATCCAGAACTGATATCCTCTTATTCACGGACGATTTATAATCCATTAGCTATGAAAAGAAAGAAACATGTTTTGCAAGTTATTCTCTTTTAATTAGTCTGTCTTATGTCACCATGGCTTTCAAGAAGTCAAACAAATCCGTTGCAGAAGAACTCTTTTTATCACTACTTTAATTCAAAATGGAAAATGGCTTTTTTTCTCATTAACAGTAATCTTCTTCAGTGCCTACCTTTGTAACAAATGTTATCTTAAAAGCACAGGCTTCGCTACCATTCATGATATTTCCCATGGTCAAAAGCAGCTAGAGAAAAGAAATATAGAAATTTTTCTTGAATAATTAAGAAGTTTTGCCGAATGTTTAGCTTTTGAAAGATACGCACGTTTTCAATTGGGCTGGATTATTTTCTTCCATAAAAAAGAAATATTTTCTTGATAGCAGCGTAGATGGTTAACTTAGTGAGGGGAGTAAGTTTGCTTTAGTATCATTACCGTCTTTCACTCCTTATCATATTATTATTGTTATTATTATTATTATTATTATTATTATTATTATTATTATTATTATTATTATTATTATTATTATTATTATTATTATTATCTCTATTATCACAGTCTTTGCTGGTGTTCTTTTTGCGCATCAGCCGGGCGCATTGCCCATTTTTAACGGATTTTTACAGTTAAAACGTCACCTAGAATTTTCGGGAGCCTTTTTTCTGGCTGAAATTTTCGAAAAGGTAAGTTTTGATCCCTATGATTTTCGGATCACTAGACTTCCAGCTAGCTCAGGAAATCCGAACAGATGAAAAATTTTTAGGGGACAAAACTATGCCTATGTCTACCGTGTAAATACTAAAATAAGTTTAACAATGTTATGTTTAAGTGGTTTTGGACTATATTCTCGTTGGGTGCCCCTGAAAGGAGGGCCACCCGGTCGAATGAAGAAAGGAAAAGAATATAACTGGGGTTGGGGCTGCTAGGACGCTATGATCAGTGGTTTCTGGATAACTGACAACCCACCCCTCCCCTAACGCAGTACTTTGTACGAATAAGAAGTTGTTGTTAACGACGGGTTTCATGATGGTTACGTGGACAGAGAATCTAGTTCTGATCTAAAAAAAATGTCAAGACATTCAACAACGATATAGGGCGTGCCTTTCATTTTCCTTGCTGAAGTGAAATCTGTCTTGACAAAACGTCCATGATAGTAGTTTTGGTGTCCATGACAGGTAATATTGATGTCCATTAATAGAAAAAAAAGTCATATACGGCGAACTATGTTTAAAAACAGTGCACAGCTCTACCCCGCAGCCCGTTAATTATCCAGGAATACTCCATGCCACTTTGTTTGCACTCATCCCTAATCCATCATTTTACTTTCACTGAAAACTATGATTCCATATTAGTGGAAATCACTTGAAACAAATAAAATGTGAGTTAGATTACATGACGAAACTAAGGATACTTCAATGCTTGTTCGAAAAGCATCCTCGTCTTGTTTAATGCTTTCATTATTTATTTTCTTGACATCCTCCTCTAGAACCTGCCAAAAAAAACAGTTCAAAAATTATGGTCTGTATGCGTGTTAATGAATCAACTTTAAATACACTCGTTACGTTCCAGTTAAAATTTTTCTCACCTCGATCTCTGCCGTTAGCTCGGTTATCTCTTTGTCCAGCGACTTGAGTGGAACTAAAAAAAAAAGAAACAACAAAAGCCAAACAATCGGATCTTGAAACACTTCCTCTCAAACAAACAAAACAAACAAGCAAACTAACGATCAAAAAACAACAACAAAATATTGTGTCATTCAAATTAAGCAATTGTCTTTCTAAAATGAAAGTAGACCAAAACCAATTGTTTTCTAATACCATCAGATGAGGATATCTAACATATGTATTAACAATCACTCCTCGAGCCCGAATGGGCTCTGAGTGAAATAGCCCATGAGGCCGAAGGCAAAACAAGTTTAGCTAGCAAAACGCGATTCAGCCACCGTTGTTTTGGTTTTCAAAGCCGGCGCTTTTCGCTACTAGAGGGCCATAACATATAGCCTAGTAGTAGCTCAACCAATCAGAACGCAGCATTGATAATAGACCACTACTTGGATTTTACTAGATGAGAATATCTAGATCAGTGAAATGATATACCTCGTGATGCTTGTTGGACATGTTTGAGATCTTCTTCTAACGCTGCAATGTGCGGACACTTGGTAATGATGACCTTAGTAAGGTAATCCAGAACTGATATCCTCTTATTCATGGACGATTTATAATCCATCAGCTATGAAAAGAAAGAAACATTTTTTGCCAGTCATTCTCTTCTAAGTAGTCTGTCTTATGTCACCATGGCTTTCAAGAGGTCAAACAAATCCGTTGCAGAAGAACTTTTTTTATCACTACTTTAATTCGAAATGGAAAATGGCTTTTTTTTCTCAGTAACAGTAATCTTCTTCAGTGCCTACCTTTGTAACAAATGTTATCTTAAAAGCACAGGCTTCGCTACCATTCATGATATTTCCCATGGTCAAAAGCAGCTAGAGAAAAGAAATATAGAAATTGTTCTTGAATAATTAAGAAGTTTTGCCGAATGTTTAGCTTTTGAAAGATACGCACGTTTTCAATTGGGCTGGATTATAAATATTTAGAAATATTTTCTTGATAGCAGCGTAGATGGTTAACTTAGTGAGGGGAGTAAGTTTGCTTTAGTATCATTATCGTCTTTCACTCCTTATCATATTATTATTATTATTATTATTATTATTATTATTATTATTGTTATTATTACTATTTCATTATTATCATTATTATTATTAATTATATATTCCTCTCTGGAAGGGGGTGGGGGATCGCCTTTTTTACGAGGTGATACCTCTATAAATGTTGTAAGCTTTTCACTCGACATGAGCTCTTGACTTGCTGTTATCACTGTCTGGAGATACTGAAAAATAAATCACAAAAATGCTATTTTAAACTTTTATACCTCTCTAGAAAAAACTGCACAATCACTGTCTTTATTTTGTTTCGTTCTGTCTCAGTGAAACGTTAATAAATTCTGGAATATACTTTGCTGTTTAAAAACAAGAACCTCCTTTAACCTGTCAATCTGGCTACAATATTCGCAAACTGTACTGGAATACAAATAAACTTGTCAAATTGGCTCAGAAGTAGAGTGCTCTTATATGCGAATCCAGGAAAAAATTATCAAAAAATCACGATTTCGAACGCGAGCTGGGCGCATGCGCCAACGAGTTTCCTAATTCAAACAAACAAAACCAGCATTCTTATTTTCAAGATAACATTTCCTTTCACTGTAAAATACATGACGGAATACCATCCCTGTTTCCGTTCACATTGAATAAGTAACCACCTTTGGGAACCACTCAGTTGTGTCTGATAGATATATTGAACATTTCTTTCTATTCAGTGCTCTTTTTGCTCATCATTGAATGTAAAGTAATCCCTATCTTACTGACGTCTTACTGGTTTAATGTGAGCGATCCTTTCCTGGAATTGAGATTTCAATAGTACAGTTCTCATTCTTTCCTTATAGGATGGAACGGAGGCTGCAATCTGCCAACGGAAAGAAAAAGAAATATAACTTGACTTAGATCAGGCGTCACGTATTTATAGATACTATTCAATCTCTTTTATTTATGATGTCTTTGTAAGAAGTAAGAAAAGATTTTTACCTCAAGATAGAAGCGCTCAGCTGGCTCAAGTAAAGGCTCGTTCTCTCGCTCTTGTTTTCTTATCGCTTTTGCCTGGTAAGACAACAAAATGCAGTTAGTTACTTTAGGATTCTTTAGCACCTATATTTTCGCACAATAATTTTAGTGTTCAATTCGCAGTTATTTGAGCAGAAAACCTCTAGCTAGAGACAATGACTGACATTTCGCGACACCACCATGTCTGAGAAAAGAGCACAGAAATCATCCTCGTTCCCAGGCAATAGTGAGAACGAGTTTGCGTAGAAATGCCATACTGATGACGCGTCATTACTTAGATCTGGGTAGTGTTTGTTATTGGTTGAAGCAAATTTCCCACGCGGCAAGACCAATCCGGAGCACTAACCAGTTCTGGGTAAGTGACATGTCATTAGTATGGAATTGCTGCGCTCATTTTGCGCAGAAATCAGTGGTGACGAAGTGAAATGCCAGCTGTTTTTGCAGACTAAACTTACAACTTCAGAAGCCTTATTTGATTCTCTTTCGTTACGTTCTGGAATAAAGATAGCTATAAATACACTACCTAAATCAAAAAATTCTAACGTGTCTTAATTAGTGTTCACTTTTTGTAAGGACCAAGAGCGAACATGATTACTGTCGAAATAAATCGACTTATGAATTTACTGAGACAGCGAAACTGGTGGCTTTTGAATCTTTTGTTGCCATAGTTACCTCTCGATCGTCAGGCGCAAATGCCAACAATTGTCTGAGTACGTCAGAGGTCAGATTAGAGGTCCCGGATATAAGACATAGAGCTACGTCTTCAGTTTTCAACTTATGATGTGACATCACAATAGCTGGAAACATCACACAACAAAATATTACAACTTCCTCGATCAATTAGTAGTCAAGCTCTAAGTTTTAGTTAGGGAGGGAGGCAGAACCTGTCACGAAAAACAGGCATATAAGACACAGAGCCACGTGGGACCGAATTTCAAACTCTGTAAGTGATTTTTTTCTTCTAACATGATGATTTTACTCAAAATATTCTTTGAAAAATAAAGTACTTCTTATTTCTAGCAAAGTGATATACGTATTTTTTTCCTATGTTTTGCATTTTGATAAGCCAAGACATTTTGCAATCGTAGTCATCATTACTTACAGATGTTAAAAATCTTTTTGTCGCTCATAGCACTTTCTCGTTTGGCTTTTTTCAAAGATCCTGTCAGTAAACATAAATCGTAACCTGTTAATATTTTCATTACAAACAATTTTTCTGTTATAATTAAAATGATCAGGGCCCGGTTTTTCAGAGGGATAAATGGGATAAATCTCTTTCCAGTGGATCAGTATTTGGGAAACCAAGTCCAATATCCACTAGATAGAGATTCATCCTGTGGATAGTGTCATCCGCCTTTCGGGCAATAAGGACCTTAAATTTTCTGAATTTTACGCTTTGAATGAAATCCCATGAAAAGTGGCAAGTTTATGAGGCTTTTTGGCACTTTTGGGAACAAGAGAATCGGCCGCGAAAGGAATTTGTCCGTTTTAATTTATGGGTTGTTCGAAAGGACAGGTTAACTTCGTCCCCAGGGCTTTTTCCATTTTGTTTTTTAAGGGAAAGCCTGGAGACGAGGTTGAGGATAAGCCATTAGAGACCTTAAGATCGAGGTTTTTCGGCATCTCCCAGCAAACGTCAAGAAGTCAAGTGACTAGTGCGTTACCGTCAGGTTTGTGGTTTGAGGCTCACGTTTGCGAGATCACGCTCCAGCGGTAAGTGATTTACCGCACGGTTTTTTGCACTATAAAAAATCACAACCCCGCGTTTGAGAGAAAATACTCCTTTTTAGAACTCTTTCGCTAATTAATTATTGAACTATCTTTCATAGAAACGTAACTTTGAAGACGATTTCTTAGCTAAAATAGAAGTGAAAGAATGAATAAAAACAAACATGGCGGCCGCGAGCTACCACCCGCGAATCTCAATTCCTAAATATGGGCAGACGGATTTGTGAAACTACTGACCGAAAACCGCGGTTTGCCGTTTGCCGTAAGATGGCCAAACCTCCCTCGATCTTAAGGTCTCCATTTTTATTCCAGCCCGCTCACTTCTCTTCGAAAGTGATTGGGGTTAACCAGTCATCCAAGCTTTAATTTGGCGAAGGAGTTAAAATTACTGCACCCGTTTTGGAAGTGAATAACAAATGAAACTTATGATCAGCGATGAATTTTCCAGTTTGTGGTTGAGGTTTTTTTTAGACAGGCTACAAAATATCAAAATGTCTTTTTTGAGGTATTCAACAACGGAAGACAATGAATTTTGTCTACCTTGAGATGGCATAATTGAAAATTCTCTTCTTATGTCTTCACAATCAAAAATGCCCTCCAAGGGCAAGTTCTTTCCAACCTGAAAACATTTCAAAAAAGTTTAAGCAGCTAACTAATCTCTCGCAAATTATGTCATTACAAGACTTTACAAGGTAAGGAAGAAAAAAACTCTTTTACCCACCTTTTTCCAAATTGTATCCTGGTTAAGAAGATCAGGGCTCAGGGTTTCCCACGAAAGCTTCCTGCAGTCTATTTTGTGCCATTTGTGCTTCTTAATTGTATTTGGGGGAGGAGAGGGAGGGGAGAAAGGTGGGGGTGGGGGAGGTGGAGGAACAGGTGGCACGATTGGAATATAAGAGGGATGATTGCTGTTCATAAAATCTGTGAAATAAATCAAGATAATGCAATCACAAAATTTTTGCAAAAAAAAGTAGGCTTGTGATAATCATTATCTCTTTCCATATATTTGTTTTCTTTTAAATACTGTTTTAAAAGTAATTACTATTCAGAAGTGAAGCCTCATGGAACGAAAATTCCATTTAATTGCAGTAATCATTTCTTGTTGTTTCGTTCGTATTGTTATTGATGTTTTCTTATAGATTTTTCTGGAAGGGCAATTTGAAGGAGAGTCTGGGAATAAGGTACCTTGATGTCTTAGAGCAATCCATCTCTGCAGGTCTTCTGAGCACACAAAGGATACAATGAGCACAGCAAAACCTGCATTGATAAAATAGAAAAAGTTTAAACAGAACTCTGCCTCCTACCAAAATGAGCACTTGCAACGTAACGGAGAGATAAAAAATACCTAGAAAGACCTGGTTACGAGTCAGAATCGGAATTATGAACGTTCGGACTTTCGGATTAAAATATGATCAACTCTAAAAAAGATTTTCTCTTGATTGCAGCTTTAGTACAGCCAACTAAAAAGGGTTATGTCTGATGTGATTACAATAAACACGCCGATAATCTAGCTGAGAGAGCTGGTAGCTTGGGCGTGAGGCAAGTTGAATTATTGGGCGTTTTGCTCTGCTTTGTGATAGGTAAAAATAACTCGTTAAAGTTTTATGAAAGAAAATATTTTTCGTTGTGTTATATGTTATGGCTAGTTTTGATGAAGAGCAAATGCATTTAGAAATTAGAAGGGAACATTGCTTACCCGGAAAGATCCAAATGTTAACAGCAAAGGTAATATCCTTCTTAGTGAAAAAAGCAGCGGAAAACAGAAGGATCGCAAGTGTGAAAGGTAAAATTATTTTCCAATTGCTAAAACAAAGAGAAATCATTGATTATAAGATAAAAAGGAAATTAAACATTATCTTCGATATGTTGAACTACTGCGTTACTGATCAGTTTAAGTTTAAAATTTTGATTTGTGGCGTATTGTATCTAGTGTATTGGCTAAGGTCGCCTGTGCTCCTTCCCCCTTTTTTTCATGCGTTTTTTCCCTTTTTACTTTCGATTTTTAATTCTTTTAACTAAATTGTCAAAGTCCAGTTTTAATATAATTTGACAAAGTTCCGGCCAGTTGGTAAAGAAAAGATACAAAAACCAAGAAACATACAAACCATTTCCAAATCTCAGAGGTGTTGTTCATAAAATTCCAAATATTTGGCCTCACATCTGGAGATAGAAAAATAACAGCAAATGAACCTTTCTATACTGCATGTTTTGATTTTGCCCAATTAGCATTCAGTGAAGAGGAAATCATGTGCAGTGTTAATCCTTGGACGTGTAAGGATCGGAAGAGAGGTTGGAGGGTGAGAGCCTAGAGCCCGTCTTTTCCTGTGTTAAAATATTTTGGACAAAATAAGGCGTCAAGTAGATAGCAAGTTGTTAACTCTACAATTCAACACAAATATTTTGGCAAGTTTCGGGATTCAAAATCGTCCCCATCTAAGGTTTTTACGGAAATTCACATTTATTAAATGGAGTACAAAAACTAACCATTCCAAGCTTGCCGTTTGTTAGATAGAGATTCATCCTGTGGATAGTGTCATCCGCCTTTCGGGCAATAAGGACCTTAAATTTTCTGAATTTTACGCTTTGAATGAAATCCCATGAAAAGTGGCAAGTTTATGAGGCTTTTTGGCACTTTTAGGAACAAGAGAATCGGCCGCGAAAGGAATTTGTCTGTTTTAATTTATGGGTTGTTCGAAAGGACAGGTTAACTTCGTCCCCAGGGCTTTTTCCATTTTGTTTTTTTAAGGGAAAGCCTGGAGACGAGGTTGAGGATAAGCCATTAGAGACCTTTAGATCGAGGTTTTTGGGCATCTCCCGCGAACAGCAAACGTCAAGAAGTCACGTGACTGGTGCGTTGCCGTCACGTTTGGGGTTTGAAGTTCACGTTTGTACGGCTAGATCACGTTCCAGAGGTAAGTGATTTACCGCAAGGTTTTTTGCGCTATAAAACGTCACAATCCCGTGTGTGAGAGAAAATACTCCTTTTTAGAACTCTTTCGCTAATTAATTATTGAACTATTTTTCATACAAACGTAACTTTGAAGACGATTTCTCTGCTAAAATCGGAGTGAAAGAATGAATAAAACAAACATGACAGCCGCGAGCTACCACCCGCGAATCTTAATTCCTAAATATGGGCAGACGGATAACGTGAAACCGCTAACCACAAACCGCGGTTTGCCGTTTGCCGTAAGACGGCCAAACGTCGATCTTAAGGTCCCCATTTTTATTCCGGCCCGCTGACTATCATCCGAAATACTGGGGTTAACCAGTCATCCAAGCTTTAATTTGACGAAGGAGTTCAAATTACTTCACCCGTTTTGGAAACGAATGAAACTTATGATCAGCGATGAATTTTCCAGTTTGTGGTTGAGGATTTTTTTCTGGACAGGCTACAAATTATCAAATGTCTTTTTTGAGGTATTCAACAAGAGAAGGCAATTAATTTTGTCTACCTTGAGATGGCATAATTGAAAATTCTCTTCTTATGTCTTCACAATCAAAAATGCCCTCCAAGGGCAAGTTCCTTCCAACCTAAAAACATGTCAAATTATGTTATTACAAGACCTTACAAGGTAAGGAAGAAAAAATACTCTTTTAACCTACCTTTTTCCAAATTGTATCCTGATTAAGAAGATCTGGGCTCAGGGTTTCCCACGAAAGCTTCCTGCAGTCAATTTTGTGCCATTTGTGCTTCTTAATTGTATTTGAGGGAGGAGGGGGAGGGGAGAAAGGTGGGGGTGGGGGAGGTGGAGGAACAGGTGGCACGAGTGGAATATAAGAGGGATGATTGCTGTTCATAAAATCTGTGAAATAAATCAAGATAATACAATCACAAAATTTTTGAAAAAAAAGTAGGCTCCTGATAATCATTATCTTTTTCCATACAATGCCATATATTTGTTTTCTTTTAAATACTGTTTTAAAAGTAATTATTATTTAAAAGTGAAGCCTCTTGGAACCAAAATGCCATTTTATTACAGTAATCATTTCTTGTTGTTTCGTTCGTATTGTTATTAATGTTTTCTTAGCTTTTTTCTGGAAGGGCAATTTGAAGGAGAGTCTGCGAATAAGGTACCTTGATGTCTTAGAGCAATCCATCTCTGCAGGTCTTCTGAGCACACAAAGGATACAATGAGCACGGCAAAACCTGCATTGATAAAATAGAAAAAGTCTAAACAGAGCTCTGCTTCCTATCAAAATGAGCACTTGCAAAAACGGAGAGAAAAAGTTACCTAGAAAGACCTGGTTACAAGTCAGAATCGGAATTATGAACGTTCGGGCTTCGGATTAAAATATGATCAACTCTAAAAAAGATTTGCTCTCGATTGCGGCTTTACAGCTAACTAAAAAGGGTTAAGTCTGACGTGATTATAATAAACACGACGATAATCTAGTTTACAGAGCTGGTAGCTTGGGGGTCGGCAAATTGAATTATTGGGCGTTTTGCTCTGCTTACCGATGGGTAAAAATAACTCGTTAAAGTTTTATTAAAGAATATATTTTTCCTTGTTTTATATTTTATGGCCAGGTTCGCTGAAGAGCAAAGGCATTTAGAAATTAATTAAAGAAGGAAACATTGCTTACCCGGAAAGATCCAAATGTTAACAGCAAAGGTAATATCCTTCTTAGTGAAAAAAGCAGCGGAAAACAGAAGGATCGCAAGTGTGAAAGGTAAAATCATTTTCCAATTGCTGAAACAAAGAAAAATAATTGATTATAAGATAAAAAGGAAATTAAACATTATCTTTGATATGTTGAACTTCTGCGTTACCGATCAGTTTAAGTTTAAAATTTTGATTTGTGGCGTCTTGTATCGAGTGTATTGGCTAATGGCACCCGTGCTCCTTCCTCCTTTTTTTCATGCGTTTTTTCCCTTTGTACTTTCGATTTTGAATTCTTTTAACTAAATTGTCAAAGTCCAGTTTTAAGATAATTTGACAAAGTTCCGGCCGGTTGGTAAAGAAAAGATACAAAAACCAAGAAACATACAAACCATTTCAAAATCTCAGAGGTGTTGTTCATAAAATTCCAGATATTTGGCCTCACATCTGGAGATAGATAAATAACAGCAAATGAACCTTTCTATACTGCATGTTTTGTTTTTTTTTTCCCAATTAGCATTCAGTGAAGAGGAAATCATGTGCAGTGTTAATCCTTGGACGTGTAAGGATCGGAAGAGAGGTTGGAGGGTGAGAGCCTAGAGCCCGGCTTTTCCTGTGTTAAAATATTTTGGATAAAATAAGGCGTCAAATAGATAGCAAGTTATTAACTCTACAATTCAACACAAATATTTTGGCAAGTTTCGGGATTCAAAATCGTCCCCATCTAAGGTTTTTACGGAAATTCACATTTATTAAATGGAGTACAAAAACTAACCATTCCAAGCTTGCCGTTTGATAATTATGTTACAATNTTAACTCTACAATTCAACACAAATATTTTGGCAAGTTTCGGGATTCAAAATCGTCCCCATCTAAGGTTTTTACGGAAATTCACATTTATTAAATGGAGTACAAAAACTAACCATTCCAAGCTTGCCGTTTGATAATTATGTTACAATTTAATAATAGTTTGCTAATTTTGGTGCTGTTTTCTACTTTTTTGCATGAGAGTGCGGAATACTCGTCTTTTTGTTTAAAAATGGATTGACCTCCTTATCCCTTATGACGTCATATTCGTCACTATGGCAAACGATCGAGGACCGGCAAAAACACCTCTGAGAACAAATGAACCATCGGCTCCTGAAAGAAAGAGTCTTCTAGCTCAAAATCGTCTGGCAAAAATCCCAGAAAACCTCATGAGGATGGCCGCATCTCTCCTCAACCCCGCTGCACTTTTGAAACTGCCTTTGCAAATTTTAAGTCAGCGATGTCAAAGTTGAGCAAAGCCCTTGAACATCTACAGCCTGCTAGCAAAAAGCTTCCTAGCAGGATATTGAGCATCCCTTGTTTTTTTTCAATGTCAACGAGTTGGTACCCTCCTGAAAGCCTTACTAAACTACAGCAACAAACAAGCAAAAACTTATTAGGTTGCCACACATTAAAAACGATAATTTAAGAGGTCAGTAATTTGGGGGGTTATTGTTCTTTTCCATATCAATTTATTTAACTCAAGTATCTGTTTGAAAATTGCTTATTATATAGTAACCATATCCCTCCTAAGAACTAAAGAAAAAATCCAGTTTTCAATGAATCCGTCAAGTGCTTTCAATCCCTTTGGAGAATAACTGCTATCTTTAGAACAAAGTTTTCAGAAAACACTTGGAGAAATAATTCCTCCAAATTTTCGTTGCTTTAGGCACTGCAATTAGCAAGTCGACAGAAATTAAATGAAATTGGCATTAAGGGATTAAAGAAGTTTATTCAAATGAATGTTTAGAATTTTTTTAGTTCACAACAACCTGAAGTGTAGTTTTTGGCAGCGCGATGACTGCCAGTTTTCCAACATAGGGCTTATACCGGCTTTTCCTTGCGAAAAACACCATCAGGCGAAAAAAAAATTCCTGAGACGCTTATAACGTATACAAATGATACAATGGTACTACTGACTATTAATTTGTTCAAGTGTTAATCCCGCTAATAAATTTTTCTGTTACAAATTTCGTATCATTGCTTTTGGCCATCGATGTTGAAGTGAACTCTTTACTAGAGATCGGCGTTGCAACATGTTGATCTAGTAGGGATATCGATATTTCTTTCCCACTACTAAACTTGCAGAGTTGTTACTCTTGGTCAAAAATTAGCAGCAGCACCGTAAATTTTAATAAAACTGCGCTACCAAACTCGTGGTTAATGCGGGCACTGAGCAAAAGCTCTGCTACCGATTTACAGCGTTTTTCCACGTGAACGTTTTGTTGCTAAAAAAAACGTAGATATTGTAAAGTATGTCATTGGGATCGAAATCAGCCACACAACCGATAGATATCGCACCTTAAGGCGTAGCATCAGATTTCAGTTTGCTCTTCAGTAACCTTGTCTTCAGTGAATAGAGAGTAATATTCTTCTGTTATAACTTTAAAAGTCCCTACATACTTGAAAAGGAATTCAGCCGCGAATTACAATTACTTACCTTGTGTTGTTGATTTAATATCTTTCACAGAAAAAACCTCTTTTTCATTCATGCTAAATGATAACGTCTTCGCAACATTTCCTTTCTGCTTTCCAACGAAAACATCACATATTTCTTAAACAAGTTAAGATTTCTCGTAAAACCTTATTCAGCGCGTCAGAGATAACTAAGAACTTCACATTATGCAATGATTTTTTGTTTCAACGACTTAGCAGAACAATTTGTTTAGCTTTTTTTGAAAAAATCATATTTGACAACATGCGGCCGCCGTATGACGTTTTCAACCTTTATCACGTCATTCGACTGAACTGATCGAGCTTCCTTAATCGTCCACGCGCGCGCGCGCGCGCTCGCTTCTTTTGCTTCTTATATTGCTTATTCCCTAGGTCTCATTATTGCGCGCAGCCGATGCGTTTCGAGTTAAAGGCATTAACCGAGAAGGCCTGGAAAGACACAGGGAAGGCAAGTCAGATAAACAAGTCAGAAGTGCCGAGAAGCGCCTGGATACGCAACGACGCAGGCCGTTATAAGTTCTACTCCCCAGGCATCTCCTACTAGTCCCTGGGTTCCAGAAGTTTTTTCTCGCGTGCGCCGACGTGCGCCGAGAGATGTGCACGGAGTGTACCAAAGCCACGAAACTTTTCGCGCCCGCGTTTTGAGAACCGGGTCAGTACAAGGACTTTTTGCGAAACCGGAAACCGCGCATGCTCTGTATTCAGTGTGGGCATAACAGTGGTAGGCATCTCCGTGAGCAGAGCCGGGTTTTTTTTGTCAAACGCTGAATAACAACTGAGGATTTTGCTCAGTGTGACAGTGTGAACCTTGACGCAAGTAAACCTTCTCGCAGGTTTCTGTTGGACACGTACAATAAAAGACTGAGTATATAGAATCATAAAATTCGTAAATGAATCGACAGTCTATAGTTGAGAATAACCAACTCACACAACAGAGACGACGGCAAACCTTGTGTGACAAGGGTCACAATAACTTTGTTTAAAAACAAATTTAGGCCAAACTTCACCTTGCTTTAAACATATTTTTCGTAAAAGACCAGAAAACTGACTAATGTTATGTGAAGATCGCGACAAAACTCCCAAGTGATAGCCCTGTCACGTGTGTCACACAAGCGTTTTGCCGTCCTCACTGACGATGCTGGGGATCAGTTTAGTTATCTGGGCAACCGAGCTCGATACGAGTTTATCGAGCTCGATATGTCAACCGGCCTCGATAAACAAATGGAGCTCAGGAAACCGAGCTCGATACGGGTTTATCGAAGTCGATATATCAACCGGCCTCGATGAACAAATCGACCTCGGGAAACCGTCCTCGATATGTCGATACCGAGCTCGAATTGTCGAGGACGATGAAGCAAGGACTCTCACTTTTCCGGGGGGACAAGTAGAATGTTATCGAGCTCGATAAGCCTCACTATCGCGCTCGAGTTCTCGTAACCGCGTTTAAATGGACCGAGCTCGGTTTACGTTAATCGTAGGTAATCGAGCTCGGTCGCCTAGAACTAGTTTTCTGGGGGGGGGGGGGG